AACTTTTCTAAATTTTTCTTAGATTTAACTTTTCTATGATACTTGGGTAGTGGCAAAAATAAGTAATTACACTGCCTCATTAAGGCCATAAGCAAGAATGTTCATAAACTCTACCCTCTGATCAACATATCCAATGCAAATGATCAGAACAATCAAATCATCACTTTCATAATATTATGTAAGACTCACCCATTGAGCCACCAAAATGTAAGTTTTGAAAAGATGTTTGCATTTTTCTGTGGACAAACATCCTAAGAGGAGAGAAAAAAATCATCATATTAGTACTGGTGGTAATCAAATATTAGTAAGGTGCATTTGATCCAGCTAAGGAATGGGTATTTTTGTTTCAGCAAAACAAACTCTTGTGTATAATTAACCCCACGCATATCAAGTGATGGTGTGACTCACTGTCCTGATTTGTAGTTGTTGCTCACTTCCTTTGATTTAATGGAATGAATGAAGTGAGTCAACCTGCAGGACTTCACTTATCTAGAGCACGAAATAGTCCATTTACAGTTGTGTGCTCAGTTGCCAAGCCTTTGAACAGGAGTGAGGCTAAGGTTGACCTTGTTATGGTACAAACCTTGCTACTTTTCAAATATAACTTACTTTGCTATCTAGATACTGGTTTCTATCACATCAAGGTCACTCAGCCTCACTCAAAATCAAAGAATTGGCAACTTTATACACAACTGTAAAGTGGCCTATTGAGGCCCGATGAATGTCAGTCAGTTCTAGATAGCATCAAAAAGCTGAAATAATCTGGTTTTGGATTGATACCCACCAGATCATATAAAACCAACAGAATTGAAAAACAACATGAATAGTATGCATTCTCCTAAGTATACCTCGAACTCAACTATTTTGCGCACTTTCAGAAAGAAGATCAGGAATTAATGATTATGGTTCATCTTCAGCTGTATTTAAGATAGAAATACCTACCCTGTTTGTAACATCTTTGTCAACAGGAGCAGCTGGAAAAAACTTCAAATCAACCTCTGGATTGATCAAGTCTGCAGTTAGTTCAACATTGTGGCTGAGCTCTTCTTCCCTAAAACATGTATAACATTCTCAGCAATTATGAAGTTATGGTAAAAAAAAACATTGTGGTTGTTCTTATCAATAGAGACCTTAAGCATCTGGAAAGCAATGCCAAGGAAGATGTTGATTAAAAAATGAATTTATATATTTAGTCTGAATTTCACAAATGGCTAGATATGTCTACCATCTCTAACAGCCTCACACTTCAACTTCAGTACACAGGTGTAAGTCCCTAAAATTGTGACCTACACTTTATTATTCAGGTTTTTTGTTACATAAATGCAAAAATGCAACAGTGTAGTAACTGAAGAATATTCTCCTGATCTAAGGAAGAACTCAGGCATGCCATCAAAATTTATTCAGAAAATTTGGGCAAAGGCCAGAGAATTCTTCTACCTTGGATGCCTCATAAACAACCTTTTCCCATAAAAGTTAAGAACAATATTTGAAATGTTCCTATAAGAGAACAGCCCTTCTACACAAGAAAACTAGGGTGCCCCACAACACCAGAACCTATCCCATTCTTTATTGCCTTGCAGCTATGTAGGGTATGGGGGCATGCTGTAAATAAGACATGCATTCATTTATTCTGAATGTGTTTGGAGAGTCCATTTTACTGATCTATGGTAAACATGTGAGCACATGCAATAGTCAATAAAACCATTGATTGGTGCAACAGGTGGCTTTACACATGCAGAATTCCCACTGTTGAGAAGTGTTTGAGGCTTGTACAAGGGAACAAGGAGTAAATTAGATCTTGAAAAATAATTCATATTATAGGTATTTAACTAAAGCAGCAGTTTGCTATTTCAAATCGACAGTTTCAAGCAGAAATCTTTCATTCACAAACAAAAAATCATTTCAGTGTGAGAGTGTAAGACTGAATTTGTTCAATCATACTAAGTGCATGAGACTTGAGAGTTCAGCTAAAAAGTAACTGTAAATATTAATTCAACCTACTCTTCATGGGTTAAATCATCCTTCAGAGGCACAACGCAAGTGCTTGGAATGTAACCTTTTTCTTCATTGTCAACACGTCGTACATACAGCCACCAACCCACATTCCTTCCAAGAACTTCAAATTTCTCCTTTCGCTTGACTGACAGCTGTACTGAGACATCAGGAGCAGTGTCCACTGCCTCTTGTGCATTAAGGTCATCATCCTGATTGGGATCATGTGCAGTCACTGCTATAACAAGAAGATCCTTTTTTGTCCCTTTGTCCATTGTTACATTCAGCTCAGTCCGCACATTCACTATAACATCAGCACTGTCAATATAGATGTCAATATGACAATATGAGTGGAAATGTCAAACGACAAAAAAGAAACACCAAAACCCATAGAAATAAATATTTAACACATAGGCAATCACTTAATAAAGAATTATGAAGTCATACATGAGGAGAAGATGATGACATGATTTAAATTCTCATGAAGTCAAAGTCAGTTATATCTAAAAAGATACCCTAAAAGACTGCATGAACTAAAAAGAGCTAACACAGGTGTGGCTGGAAGACAACCTAAAACAAAAAGATGTATTTTTACATTGTACTCCCTGTAGCACAGCCTGTGATTGCAGGCTAAATTTGGATTTTTCCCTTAGGAGAAGTTGTTATCATAAGGTGCGAAAACACCCTTGGTAAATAAGAGAATTCAGTCACAGCGTAATTAACATGCTTTGAGTATTCCACACCTTATATAACGTCGTTTTGAGAATTTTGAAGAAGGGAAATCTGCATATCATGCTTTTAAATGAAATATACATATATATGCGACAAGATGGCGGTTGAATGCAAATGGGACTTCTGCCTAAGGTGTGTGTAAGTAAAAGAGGTCGGAATCTGTGAATGAAACTCGTATAGGCCTAGAAATGTTTACTTCTTTGAAAGCAGCTGCGAACCATTGCAGAATTATAAACGACCACGAAAATAGTTTCAAGCTTCTACCTACGCGTTGTTGTATCACTGATGCATCTAGTACATCAAAATCAAACCAAAAGAAAAAAGAAAAAAAGAAAAAAACAGGAAGAAAAACTAAACATAACAGTCGTGACTCGACAAAAATCCGGCTCGGTCGAAATTAACTAGGGCTCTCGCTCTTCACTTGTGATACAATTTAACTCGACTTAAATCAATGAGTCCAATCTCATGTTCAGTTATAGAACTATCATGTGGTCTACAGCGAACGCGGTTGCAAAGTGAAATTCCAAGGTGTTAAATCGATGAGTCACGCTATGTTAGCTACTCGACGGTTAGAAGGTCATGCAAATCAACTTTTCCTACGGTAGTATTTTTTCCACTTCCACTGATTATCATAGTATGGTTCTATCTTGCCTAAACAACATTCACTATCACTGTGCAATCGGCGGCAAGGAAATGATTTGCAAAGAGATCTGACGAACGAAAAATCGATGCGTGCACGAGAACATCATCAGATCTAAGCAGGGAGCTTCCAAATCCGCTCCCTAGCATGTTTACCTTGAAGCTCGCCTTATTTTATTTAATTTGGGGTGAGTGCGATGGTTCACACATAATCATCAAAGTGGTCAAGAAATACTCTCACGCTGGCACTCAAAGTTGCCACCTGCTTCATGATTTTATTGAAAGTGGATAAATGCACACCAAGCGAATGATTTCAATTTCACTAGAGCGAGTGTAAATGTGCAAACAAGCCTCTCCCTCTAGCCCTCAAGTAGACAATTTTCTAACACCTTAAATATCGTAAAATTAAGTGCATTGCAGATTGTAGCGGTGTACTAACCTAATCTCTCCTTGCTGTTCAGTCTCTAGCTCTGCAAACCCAAAACACTGATCAACGGCGACGTTTAAGAGGTCGGGCGAAGGAGTGTATTGTTTTGACCGCGACCTTTTGAACGAGAGATAACAATGTGAAGACTGGGTTCTAGAATTTGGCGGGAATATGCTTACTAAGTGAGCGAGGGGGAGGGGAGGATGGGGCAAAAATTGCATATACTAGTACATTGATCAGTTACAAAACAAACAACAATTTAAAGGGTTATTTAAGAGACAGAAATTAAGTTTTAATTTTGAACGCTTTTTAGAACAAAACAAACAGACAAAAACAAATAAAGCACATGCATTACACAACACAAAATTAACCTTGCCACCCCGACCCTAAGTCACACTTTATTCCTTTTCCAAATCATGTTTTTTTGAAATAATTTTATTTTATCCGGAGGTCGTTAAACAACGGTAAATTTTTTTATCTTTTAATCACGACGGAAAGAAAGTTTGTGATAAATTGTCGTATTCTCCTACCTCTAGCCGTTTAGTGACCAAAACTTTAACCGTTAGCAGGAGCCATTATGGGCTCCTGCCGATGGCTGTAAGAGCCATTTTCCTATTGAGACCCTCCTGGTCAGATCAGTTTTTATTCGAGATTTACAGTCTCAGAGAATTTTGCTCTTAAATACAAAGAAAAACGGAAATATTTGCGACATCTTCACATCTTATTCAAGTGCGTGTTAATAATAATCAAATTAAGAAACTAGGTCATTCGAGTTTGATGCTTCATTAAACTCAAAGGGTTTGGTATTGCATGAAAGTCATGGGTAACCCCTCATTCCTGCGTTTCAAACCACATGCACGTGGCGAAATCAACCTCTCTTTGACCAGTTGGATGATTACCTTTGCTAGGAGTAATTAACGAGTTTGAGAAATACCATCATTATCATCATTCCAGGATGGGGCATGAAGCCTTGATCTTTATTACACATTTAAGAGAGCTGCGAGGAGCCAAAGAAAAATATTGCAAAACTAGGAAAAAAATTATGGTAGGAAACAAACCATTCAAGTTTTTTGTTTACTCCAATGAACTGGCATTGCTCAAGTGAAGCAAAAGTCCAGCAGGAAAATCATAAATACAAAAAGACAAATATCTGAATTATTCAATGCTTTAATCACTTTTAAATATATTAACTTTTGTAATTCTTCGTTAATTTTATGCAAACTAATAAATCATAGAAACTATAAATACAAAGGAAGTCTCCAACAGTTACATATTCGCATTTTCATTGTACACTGTCACTCCGTCTAATACTCCTGACTTTGACTGGAGTTACTCGATTTTGAGCCGCCAGACTTAGACGCAGTTTTCTTAGGAAGCAGCACAGCCTGGATATTAGGCAGCACTCCACTATCAGCGAAGGTCACGTTGCTCAAAAGTTGGTTTAGTTCTTCATCGTTTCGTACCGCGAGCAGCAAATGGCGTGGGATGATACGGGATTTCTTGTTGTCGCGGGCGGCATTACCCGCAAGTTCCAACACTTCTGCAGTAAGATATTCCAAAACGGCTGCAAGATAAACCGGCGCTCCTGCTCCAATCCGTTCTGCATAATTTCCTAAACAAAAATTGACAAACCACTGGGTAAAATTTCCGCGCAGCCCCATACCATTGTAAAACAATCTGTTTTCCCGATGGCAATGTATTGTTTTTGTCATTGTTTTCTCTATCCAAGAACTGAATGCATAATGTGGTATGGGGCTGTGCGGAAATTTTACCCGAGTGTCTCACACTGTAAAAGAAATCTCAAACAGTTATCATTTCCTGGTAATGTATATTATCTTCACAAACCTTTACGAAGGAACCGATGAATTCTTCCCACTGGGAACTGCAACCCAGCTCGAGCAGACCTTGTTTTGCTTGTACTTTTTCCTGCTTTTGCTCCTTTACCTCGTCCGGACATCTTGCACGAGGGCTCTAGAAAGTTGAAGATAGTGTATGCAAATTCAACATGACGCGCGTTCTTATATAGCTGTCACGCGCACACGTGCAATCATCGCATGACAGCACACGATTGACTCAATATGGTAAATGCAGGTCTTATGAGACACGGGACGTGGGACATTTAAATCATCCCGGACTTCCACAACTACTCATTGATTAGGTGAAAGTCAAATTGTTTTCATTTTCCGTTGAGGTGCAATGATTTTCATTCTATTGAGGAGAGGGGAACAGGGGGCGGCTGGGCGGGAGAGGATCTATATGACGGCGGTGAGCGAGAGCAGAAATTGAAAAGAAAATCCTTTGTTGTATATTTTTTTCTCATCATCCAGTCAAAAAAATCTTGGCCTGCAAAGTTTTTTTGACTTCATTTAACGTCCACCGAGGCTTAAAAGACAATTTCATGCGCGAGAAAACGTAATTTTGCACTCAGCAGGTGAAATAATATGTTACTAATTATATAAAAGCGCAAATGAAGAATGGAATGAGGAATCACAGCATGAAAATAAAGATTTACGAAAAAGAAAAGTTGGCTTAAATCTTCTTAAAGTAGGTTATCTAACTTTACGCCATGAATTAAATCGCCTTAGAGCTGTATAAAGGTTACATTTACGTAAAGGTAATGTAAAGTAGGCGTAAAGGTATTTGACTAACTTTACGCCATGGATTAAATTTTCTTAAAGGTAAGTAAAGGTTGCATATACGCTGCCTTGTGGAAAGGGTATGTAAAGTTGGCATAAAGGAAGTCGAACAAGTCTACGCTGCAGCGTAAAGTTGCATTAAAGTTGTGCTTTAAGCCGTAAAGCAGAATAAGAAGTAAACCTGTCTGAGCTATTTGAACAGATTTATGTTTAATTTTCGAACGAGCTAGTAAATTTGAAAGATTCGTAATTTTTTTTACGCAAATAATGGCTTATTTGCATTTATTTCTATTGAAAATTCCCTAAATATATAATACTGTAGGTACGGTAAACCTCATCCACGCCAACATTTTGAAAACAGCAATTACTATACTGAAAGCGTGTTGGAAATTAAGAAGTCCTTTTCGATGGATCGTTGGTTTTGTTGTTCCACATTTCCTCTTCCTGCTCCTATTTTTTAATTACTTTATCTTATCACCTTCACGTCAAAGGAGTTATTGGAAATGTTTTTCGTTGGGGTGTTTTTGGGGGGGAGGATGGGGAGTGGGGTAGGGTGGGGTGAGAGTGATATATTCCAGGTGTTTTTCAACACCAAACCTTTATGGCAAACTCAATCACGTTTGCGTGAGGAATGAATCTATGGATCGATACAAATAAAGCCTAATAGGAAAACTGTTTGTAATTATTACACCCCCTACAATAAAAATCTTGACCCATGTTTTCCATTTTGTTTAAAATTCATCTTTTTAATTTGCTCTAATCCTTGACAGAGATAAGTACAAAAAGTGTTTTTTAAATTTTAAACAAAATTTATTTTCAAGCACAAACTATAAATTATAGTTGAAATGATTAACAATAGTGAAAATATAGATATCCTCATGCATTCTCTGTCACATAATTGGACAATAAAGCTGAATTTGCCTAGCGATTAAAAGAGTCACCAAATCCATATTCAATGATTAAAAATACTATGACTCCTAAGTGCTTCAAAAATGCCAAAACAGCGCTTGCTCCCTCCATTGTTTTCTGTGACAAAAAATTAATACCAGTGGAACTGAGAAGAGATACATGGATTACATATATATGCTCAGTATTTTCCTACTCAATAAAACAATCTTGGAACTGGGCTTACAATTAATTGTTTGCATCCATTCATTGTTGCTGAACAGGAAGCATACCTTTTTGCAATTTGCTGCACAGGCATAAACAGAGCAGGTCCACAGGGATCATAGTCATCAAGCTTCTAGACCTGGATAGGTTTGCCAAAGTTCTCTTGATATTCATCAAATTTATGCCACCACACAACAGCAAACACATGCTGATTACATTCGCCACTAATCTTGACACTATGAACAAGGTAAAAGCTAACTATGCCTCGTCAAGTAGCTCCAAAAGTATCAACTGTGCCATCAGAGGTACTCCAAGAAGCTATTATTTGTGCTGATTGCAGATTACAACAGTCCATCTTTGAACCAAACTTTTCAGTTCCAAGCATGATGTTTGAATACTTGTGGGCAACACTGGATAAAAAGGCTCTGGAAGAAGTTCATCATTTGTGATATCTTGAAGAAGATGGTCCTCTGGTGCGTCATTCCAAACATCAGGATCTTCCTCCCCTGCAAGGCTCTCATTATCACTTATATCATTGCAACTGGATGAAGTGACTTCCGAACTATCAGTGTCCAAACCTTCAGAGCTTTCACTGGTGGTTTTAAAAATGAATAAAATTAATCATGTATCAGGTTATCATACTGAAACTTAAAGATGAAGTTAAATAACTATACAGATATATGTGTATATTTAGTATTTTTAGAGAAGATGACAATATCCTTGTGTTTTGTTTGCAACTTTCTTACCCCAAAATGCAACTGGTCTAGATACTGGTCTGGGTGGGAAAATCTAGACCATGGTCAACATTGATTTTAGCCAATCAAATTTGTGAATTCGCTAGTTTCCTGTCCTTCTGAGATACAGCATTATAATAATGTAAACTTCAGTTTACCTACCTCATAAGATTTACAACAGTCTTCATCATCATTCATTGCAGACAGGAAATCTGCTTCATCATCCAATAAATTATTAAAACTTTCTTGGGAACAACCTATTAGAGGAACAAATACCAGAGGTAAATGTTTAGTGTTCATAAAGTATATCTCATTTACCTGAGCATCTAATTTATACCCTCTTCCCAAGTAGGAGGTGGGGAAGGGGAGGCCTCACATGCAAGTGAGACAAAAGTATTGAAAAAGCATTGATGGCAGCTACCATACATGTACAATGTACATGTACCTTTGACTGACTTAGCCTAGGACTTTTACTATGAACAAAATAGGGTGCCTTCCAGTAAAATCTTTCTATGTATGCTACTTCAAAAAAAAAAAAACAAAACACATAAATACAAGCATCACTGTAGAGCTAATATAAATGTAGATTCTGAAAATAACAATACTTTTAGCAAATGTTGCTTTGGTGAACATGCACAAGCCATGAAACAGAAATAAAAACTAGCAGTATCTGTTTTCCCAAATTACCATCTGTCATGTTACCACAGATGCAAATAAAGTGGACTACATCACTTGAGAGATAATGGGCTAGCAAACAATGAGAGGCTTCTTCAAAATTCTCACTGGTTTTTGAGAAACCACATTGCTAAGTTGGACAGTGGGAAATTTCTCAATTTGAATCATGTGCCAGGACATCAGAAGAAAAATATTGTGAATTTTGTTGAAGACTCACACTCTCTGGTATGTTAATATCTGAGGAACATTCTGGCCAATTATCTTTAAAATCCCATAAATTTATATACCCAAACAATTCCTTTGAAGACAAGTAACTTGCGCAAACACAAACCTCGAGTTTTTGGCCTCCAATGAAATTCACAGTTTTTGCACCTCATTCAGGTGGCTGTCAAATATATTCATACCTTCAACCAATACACAACACAGGACCTCCTAGTGAGTCTAGTGACACAGAAGCCTATTGAATTTTGTGGAAAAGGACATTTCATGACCTCTCTGAAGAAAAACCATTTCAAATTATGGGGTAAATGAAGCCAAGTTGAGAAAATTCATCAACAAAACAGAGCACACAGGAAAATGAGAAGAGTGGGCAAAAATCAAAGGATACAGATGGAAATGAAACTGGAAATTGACCTGAAACCAGCAGAAGTTTCAGCCATCAATAGAAACAGATAAGACTTTTCTTGAAAACACAGTTCATTACTTTTCCATCTATTGCTGTTTCATCATAACTGCAGAAATGCCAAGCGTCCTAGCTTGCAACCACGAATGAGTGATGTAAACAGCGTTAATAATATTTTTGCAAATCAACAGTAATTTGAGATCTGGGATGTAGTTTAGTGCTCGAAAAGTGTCGACACTGTTGAAGGCCATCAGATTGTAACACCTTTCACTATTTATTACCAGGTCCCTCAGAAAGCTCTTTTTATTACCACTCATATTTCTTTTAAGATTTTGCATTTTTTTCCATGAAGTTTCTTAAATGTTTCCCGAAAAAGTTAGTCAAAAAAAGCGAAATTTAAAAATTTGGGCCAGATTTTGTTGACAGTCACCTTAAGACTGATCATGAATGGGGATGTTTGACTATCTGAGAAAACTGAAGCCTTAAATATCACAGGCACTTTAATAAGCTTGACCTTAATCTCAGTTTGTATGTCCTGGCACGTGTAAAACTTTCTTTTGCATGAAACAATCCTTTTTAAGCAAGATGTGATACATTGTAATACCAGCTCAGAAAACACGAATATAAAGCAATTAAAGAACAAGACTAAAGAGCAAAATGACAACTAAACTTATTCATGTTTAACCGTAATCTTCTATTTTATTGATTCATAACTTCATGACCAAAAGGTATTTTCGAGCCAGGTTGAGGAAGTCGTCCCAAAACTTCTACAGCGTATTGTACGAGTTAACTGTTCCTTCCATACCTTCATTATTTATTGCTTCCCCAAGTGTCTCATCCTCCGAAGAAGGACATGTAGATGTCCATTCCTCTGCATCGCTAGCAGCATTTATTACGTCTTTGTCCGGGTCGCTTGACTGATACCTTGCCTTCTTTGCCGCTTTTCCACTGGCGTTATCTTGATTCATCCACGGTGTTTCCAGAAAGCTGCTCTCGACATTATTCGTTACAGTGGTCACAGAAGAGTCTGTTCTGTTGTTTCAAGCGCGATCGACCTTTTGAAAACACTTTGTAAACATAACATTCGAATTATTAACTTTGTAATTCGCACTCTCTCTGAAGATCGTAGAGCCTGCGAGTTTCCGTTCAGCGGTTATCGCGTGTAACTGGCCAATCATAAGCTTGTAAATTGTAACAAGCCAATCACAAGGTGAGAGAAACATTGGCGCCATTTTTTTCCGCATCGCTTCCATCAAGTTCTTCGGCTAGAGGTGTCATTTAAATCCCTCCTTTCGCGTGTGTAGTAATTCGGTTGGATTAATAGCTGTAAACTTGACTTTTCATACTGTGAATGGGAATGGAGAATGAAGAATGGAGAACGAGGAATGGAGAATAAAGAATGAGGAATGGAGAACGAGGAATATAGAACGAGGAATATAGAACGAGGAATGGAGAACGAGGAATGGAGAACGAGGAATGGAGAACGAGGAATGGAGAACGAGGAATGGAGAATGAGGAATGGGGAATGAAGAACGAGGAATGGGAAATTGAAAATGAAGAATGAGGAACGAGGAATAGGAAATAGAGAACGAGGAATAGGAAATGGAGAACGAGGAATACGAAATGGAGAACGAGGAATAAGAAATGGAGAATGAGGAATAGGAAATGGAGAACGAGGAATAAGAAATGGAGAACGAGGAATAGGAAATGGAGAACGAGGAATAGGAAATGGAGAACGAGGAATAGGAAATGGAGAACGAGGAATAGGAAATGGAGAACGAGGAATAGGAAATGGAGAACGAGGAATAGGGAATGAGGAATGGGGAATGGGGAATAGGAAATGGTGAGCGGAGAATGGAGAAAGGGGAATGGGGAATGAAAAAATAAAATTGGAAATTACATTTAAAAAACCATTTTTTTTGTGGAAATTTTTTGTTTATTATACCACCAGTATATTTTCATGAACTAACAGGAGTAATAGGCTCTTGAAACTTACCTTTGCAAATAATTCTTAGAGGAACTGAAACTTGGTCATGACTACATTACCAAAATTCTTCACTGTGGAATTTCAATGGATTTTCTTTCTTTCCGAGCCGATTGAGCGTTTTGGGTGCCTCTGGATCCGATGGTGTTATTTCAACTCTTCTTACTTTTAAATGTATTTGCTTACTTGTGATACGAACTGAAAGTAAGATATCGATCCAAAGCAATCTCCATGCAGGTGTTGTGAATCAAACTTAGATGTTACTTTTTTTTCTTTTCACACATCTGGGAGTTAAAAGAGTGGTAACCATAGTTATATGAAATGGACATCACTGTTCTTTCCGAGGTGCTGTCATTGAGTCACGTTCATTTTTCATATAATTGGATCATATTCTGCCATTAGCTCTAAAGTAGAGGGAGGAGACCTTTTAAAGAAATGATTACCAAATTTTTTTTATTGCAGCCTTAACCCCTTTATCCTAACGTTAGATTTCAATATTCTCCACACTTTCTTTACATTTTTTAGTGGTACTGACAAGGAGAATTTGGTTGACAATCAAGAGCACCTTTAATTGGCGATCATCTCCTGTATTCTCACAAACTTTATATTTGATTCAAGGATGGTACCGTAAGGAGAAATTAGAAGTCAGTCACTCTTAGGTGTTATATGCGAGGAGAGTGTCGATCAAATCTATATCCAGAAATTCGCCAGAGCGTGCATTAAGATTATAAGCAACATTCAAATCAGTTAAAAACGTGGTCATATAATAAATGTGAGGACGACAGGAAACCGATAATTTGAGGTTAGGTTGTTGACAGAAAGATCGAGGAAGGAGGGATAAAGATCGTCTGTCAACAATTGAAAGGGTGATTCACTTATGCTCAAGAACCGCATGACCAACTCTAAAAGACCAAAACATTATAGAGACCCAATTAATGATAAAATAAGCGAACACAAGAAATAATGCTATTCTTTCATAACAGGAGCCCATCACTCTAGTGTTTATTCATGTATCTTCTGGCAACCTCTAGTTTAGTTCGCATGACACTTGTCGCGCCATAAAGGGTTACGCAATAGCGATCCAAGAAGAAGGCTCGGTTACCTATTAGCTCCTTTACCTGAATAGCCAATGGAAATTATTTGTTATTATTCAATGTATTTGTTAAGTGTCTAACGCCAAAAGGCAGAGGAAAGTTACACGAAATCGTAGGAGTTATCACAGTCACGTTTTAAATTTAATCATTTGCTTTAATCTGTTAAGCTTTGACCCTGTGGAACATGACTTGAACCGGAAGGAAATACTGCTCGTATTCGTTCGATGGTTTGCAGATTGATTTCCGTTGAGGTTTTTTTTTTCGGGAAACGGTCACGCATCTCATAAACGCGACTCAAATATTTATATTTTTATTGAGATGATTGGATCCTGCAAGGAAATCTTGGTAAGTGATGAATCTTCTTATCTGAATACTGAACTTTAAAAAGAGCCGGGGAGTGTTAGATCGCAGCACCGAATGGATTTTGAATATCGCCAGTGTCCAACGAGTTCAGAAGCCTTGTTAAACGTCTTCAATTTTTGGTAGTCCAACAACTAAACATCACGTTTCTTGGGATGTTTCAATCGCAAAGTGGAACTACTGGATAATAATTTCTTATCAAAGTAAAATTGCGACGCGCTAGACGTGCATTCAACGTAAAATATTAAATCGACTGCCATTCAATGGCTAACCTGTATTTGAAAATGTACATATTGTAATAGAAGAGATTTAATAAATGAATGTGCTTCTTTTAGCGACTTTCAGGAACTCTCCATAGAGCTTCCAAACCAATGAAATTCATTTTTTAGTTAATTCTAGCCTGTGGAAAATTTTCATGAATTTTAATGTCATAGAGATGTAAACAAAGCAAAAAATAATCATGAGTAATCAATAATGTCGATGATATGTGACAATTGGGACCCTCTGTGGGAATATGTGTACCAAGGTGTATGCATGAGCTTGTGTGCCATGATATGCTAGGCCAGGCATGTCACAAATTTGCGGATATGTAGATATTTACAAAGCACAGAACAAAGACATACAGACACTTTGTTTTAAGCAGTGAGCTCTTTAAAAAAAATTGACTTGCAATATGACATGCATGCAAAAAGGCATGCATGCTGTATGATATGCATGCAAAAAACTAGTCTGCAATGTGTCATGCATGCAGTAAGACATAGCTCTCAGAACATGCATACTGTGTATGACCAAAATGTACCTATTTCAAATATATGCACTCATCAAGCAATCATAGGGTAAGTGTGAGCATGATATCATGAAGTATTAATGTCAAGGCCTGAGTTATCTGCTAAAGCCAAAGGCAGATAACTCAGACATGAGGCTTGATAATTCATGATATCACGGGAAAACCAAATTCAATAATTTTTTTATTACACATTTTTAAACAATCTGCAAAAGAAAACACTGCTCTCTGAGTCTGCAAAAATTTTTGAACAATACATGGATGAGGGGCTGGGAAACTAGGCAAAATTTTAGCCTGACATGACAACCCAATATCTGTTGAAGATATTGGGTAATCACATTAAATTCATGGGCTATTGTATGATGACTTTATGTTCTTGACCAATTCAGAGTTTTCATAGTATGTCTAGACAAGTGTATAATTATAATATTATTATTACATTGTGCATGCCTGAAATGCAATCAGAACCTCTTGCACTGGTTGATTCCCCATGATGATATAAAATTTCCTTTTTATTTGATATTGTTATGTTATTACTTGTTTTCAGATGTGCCCAAATACTATGCTCTGGGAAGTTTAATTGGTATACATGTAATTAGTATACCTGTCTGCAGGGCATGGCAGCATCAGTAACCACAGCAAAGAAAGTAAGGGTGGTAGCCATTCATGACTTTGACCCACTGCAAGCTGATGCTATTTTAACACAAGACTGCCTCAAGAATCCACCCAACATACAGGCTCAGTTACCATTATCCAGGGGTCAATGTCTTGAGATTCTGACCAAGAATGTAAAATCTTGGTGGCTCTATGTAAGATGTGTTTTCAGTGAAAAGGAAGGATTCATACCAAGCACTTGTGTTGTTCCTTTGAGGGAGGATGTGGATGATGAGAAGTAAGTACAATGTACAAAATTTGATGGTGTTGTCTTTGCATTAGATAACTTTACAGGCCTGTGCTTGCCCAATCCCATCTCTTGATAGGTGGAGTAATCATTCAAGTTTCCCCTGCATTTCTATCTTGCTTGCCTTATGTTTTCCTTTCACCCCCAAACTGACTGAATACATCTTGCTGGAGGGTAATAACTTCAACAAGCCAATGGTTAACCCTTAAACCCCTAAGAGTGAATACTATCGAATTCCTCCTCACAATATCACCCCTGAATCAAACATTAAGGTTACACGAATAAAGAAAATGACCATCAAATTAAGTAGCTCTTGATTTTTAAACAAATTCTTCTTGTCAGCACCTTAGAGAGGGTGTAGAGAACAGAAATTCTGTTCTCTACACCCTCTCTAAGGTGAGAATATGCAAACTGATGTTAGGGTGTAAATGGTTAAGTATCTATCTGGGAACCACAGTACAAGTTTAGGTGAATTTTTGGATTAGCTGGGATAAATTTTTTTTCAAGCGGGCTTTAAGAACATTTGTAAGAAGCAAACTTTAAGAAACTTTATAAGTCTGGTTGCCAACACTCGATGTTCAGTTACATGGGTGATTTTAGCTGGTCCAAGCTTGAAGGAAGAAGGTCTTTGATGTTATTTCTTTGATGATCAAACATAACTTGTGTTTCAGGCCAGCGAAATATTCTGGATTGTAAATAATGTGTTTAACTTTAAATTATGGCAATGTATTTTTTTATTGCAGGCTTCATAATCTTGTTAATGGTGGCCAGCTGTCATCCTCTCTGGTCAATAGACAGGTGGAATCAAAGTTCTTTCCAAATATCCTGAATGTTACTAATATATCCAGCAAAAAGATTGAATCAAGGAGGGTGAGTACACTCTTTTTCTTTCAATTTTCCTGTTGTTACTTGCAGTAAGCGTGTAAGTGTAACACACAGTGGCCTGATGGTTAGTGTGCCAATGAATGTGGGATGAGAGGTCAGGGTTTGAGACCTGACCAGGTCAATGTGATGGACCAGCTTCCCATTTTGAGGGGGAGTAATGATTCCCTATTCCCTTCATGTGAAGAAAACTAGGGATAAACTTCAGCTGGATCAGGGCCTGACTTTAATTGAATACAGACTGATGACTACATGTATGTACTTTGTTAAACCTAAACAGTAAGGTTTGATTTAGTGAAACTCATTTCAATTTTGTGATGGGGTTTACTGAAAGTCATTGGACACTGACTCACAACAATTAGTTAGGAATTTTTTTTTCAGATTTGTATGGCCCAATTTGTGGTCATCAACAGCCAGATACAAAGTGCCCATAAAGTTATTATTAACCCTTTAACTCCCAAGATCTAATTGTTAATTCTCACTCTAGCTTCTATACATTTCCTTGTAAATTATTTAGGGGAATTTGGTCTTATATCAAGATAACGACTTTTACCTGATAATATTGAGTATTCTCATCACCCATTTGTGAATAATGTATGGATATTATAGGGAGATGTTACATGTAAGTCACCTCTGGGAGTTAAAGGGTTAAAGCATTGACACCATAGGTAATGCATATGGGTGCCATTAGCATGATTTCCTTTCATTTCTTCTTTTGAATATGTATTCTTCAAGTTTCCAATGTCTCTCAAATATTGTCACTTGAATGTCTAATATATTTGTTACTTAATTATAGTAATTATCAGAAATAGAGTACATTTTCATGTTAGTTTGAGTTCCATAAAGCTATTTCTTTTAGAAGCCATGCCCTGAGGAGAAAGCTAATATATTTTCACGCTTGTCATTTTGGTGGCTAAACAGGTAACTTCTCATTCTCCTTGAAATTTTAATTTCCATTATCATGGTTGTAGGTGATTTTCAGCAAAAAGTTTTACTATTGTGGTAAGCTTACTCAGTCAGGTGATTAGACAATAAAACTGTCTAGTGAGATGAAAGTTCAGTTGACATAAAATGTGATAAATTTTGAGTACAGTTTGTTCATGAAAAAATTTTTTATGGAGCTTGTTTTTCATCATAACCATTGCTTATTGATATGAGGCAAAATTTATATGTTTAACTTAGTCTACATCTTATCAACGTTGCACTTCCATTAACATAAAGTGCTGTGAAAACCATTTCCTGAAGGAAGTACATAGTGATAATTCTACATAACATGTTTTTGCAGTCTCATTTTAACTGGCTTTAAAAGAGCACTGCTGGACAGTGATTTATGGGCACTGGAGGAGGGAAGTTTGTCTCACAGTATTGTGCCAAGACTTCAGAGTGAATGGGAGAAAGAAATAAGGAAGTGTCATGGGTCAGTGAACAATGTTTGTAGGAATAATTTTTATTACTATAATTTTTATTATAAGATTATTATAATTATTTTTACTATTGCCACCATAGAACTACAAACACTGTACTTGATAGTTTAGACAGAAATGGCGAGGAAGCCCAAAGAGACCATGGTGCTTATAAAGTACAGTCTTCCTCGACTGGTATCATTTTATTTGAAAAAAAAGGAGTGATAGTGCAGTCTGCAATCAAACAAAAATTCAGATTATTGCCTCTGTTATCTCAGCAGAAACAGAGCACCACGTTCTAATGACGAGGACTTTGAAAAGAATCATCTTCAGAGTGCCAGTGATGTTGCATTTGTTGGAAAATGCAGAGAGCCCTCTCTAATCAAAGCCATGATACAAGTATTTGCTCCTTACTTTGTGATTGGCGTTTTCTTCAAGTTGCTGAATGACATTCTGTTGTTCGTTCAGCCGTACCTTTTAGGGTGGGTGATTACTTTTTGTATTGGAGCAATTTTCAATTGAATGTCGATAGTAATGCAGGATAGCATTGGTTTTGCTTTACCTAACTCTGTGTGATTGGTCCAGAAAAAATTGCACCACTCATCTCAACCAATCAGATGCAAAGCTTGAAACTGATCACGACTTGGTCGCCCACGTTTTCCCGCGCTTTGGGCATTTCGCTTTTTTTTTTTTGAGTTCTCATTGGCTTGTCAAGGTATTTTCCTTTCCTATGATTGCCTATGTGATTACTTTGCTTTTGCTTCTAAGACATTCAATCGAAAAGCGCCCTAAAAGTGCTGAAGAAAATTGATTGAAAAGGCCTTTGGCTCGATGAATTTTTGAGGCCTTTTTTTTCACAAGAGCTGAGTGCTAAAATGTCACTTAATTTTTAAGTATACATGTGACACATTTTTGAGTATGTTTTGTCTTTTTTTCTTTTGGGTTTTGTGTCTCAGTTTGAAAAAATAACTGCATAACAGATACTTCAAGTTCTAGAGTGACACATTTGATGTTTGATCTAAAAATAGAAATGAAGTAATGAATGGTTTGGCCAGGCGACAGTATAAACTGAGTGAATGATGAAGGAGCGAAGAGGTCATAATGTCGTCAGCCGTGAACTTTTTTTCGTCAAAATCCTTGGAATTAATATGCTACACTAACAAGATACCTTAAATTACGCTATTTATTGTTCTTGTATAGTCTACGAGCCGGCTTCGACATCACGGCTGCAAGACACGTGTTTATCCGTCCCCGAGAAGGTTTGAGACGAGGTGGGGATAGGTTTGCCGGAGGTCTGTCGGCATTACTCATCAACAGTGCTAGGCCCCTTGCAGACCTCTCACTGACTTGAGTTGCTTGAGGCATGATACTTTCCCGCGGGCGAAGAAACACTCGTGCTGAAGCACTTAGGGTTTTCTCGCAAGCTAGATTTAGCTGAGTGCACGTTTCTTGTGTAAGACGAAAGAAAAATCGTGCAAATTTCCCAGGCTATTGCAAGTACGTTGCTTAAATTCTTAAAAGATACAGCAACAAGGTAGTTTACTTTCACGAGCTTACTCCCAATTGGTCTTTTTCAGACTCCTAATAGACTATACAGAAGATAAGGGTAACGATGCAGACAGATGGAAAGGCTATGTGTATGTTGTCGTCCTTGTTATTGTGGCAATCCTCCAGCTGACGGCAGTGCAGCATGCACTGCACATTGCATTCAAATCAGCAATGAGAGTTCATACAAGCATTGTTGGTGTTGTTTATGCCAAGGTGAGAGCATTCGTCACCCGTAACTGTCTCTTGTACACCCAAGTATTGGCATGTGTTGTTCAGATCATCAAACGAGTCACGTCTTTCCCACGTAAGACTCAAGATTAGATCGCGCGGGCAAGGGTTATTTTGAACACATTAAACATTGTTATGTGCAAAACTGCACTGAAGTTCTTGCGGTTTTAAAATCCCACTAGATGTACAGTGGAACATTTTATTCCAATTCACGCCTCTGTGGTTTCTCATAGAGTGGTTGCTGATTTCCTTTTTATAGCTACACCGTGATATTTTGTGTTCTTCATTCTTTCGTCGCAAAGTGCAAGGATAATGACTCATAAAGTGGAGGAAGTTGTGAAATATGAGCTTCGTAATTAATAGGTGGAACAATGTGTTGAATAGAACGAAGAGGATAAACTAGCAACCAATGAGGATAACTTTGGATAAAGATGATCCACATGGATTTCAAACTAAAAAATCTAGGCTAAATGTGTCGACTCGCAAAAAATCATTATCCAGCATCTATATGTATTTTTCTTTCTTTTTTATTTTTCTGTTCATTCACAAGGCTTTGACATTAAACAGCCTCGCAAGAAGGATAACCACAACCGGTGAAACAGTCAACCTCATGGCTGTGGACGCTCAACGTGTCATGCATCTGGTTGAAACCCTCAATCAACTGTGGTCAGCGCCCTTTCAAATTTGTGTTGCCATCTACTTTTTATATGTCACCATGGGAGTGGCAGTCTTGGCTGGACTAGGCACGCTGCTACTATTAGTGCCGCTGAATCTTCTCATAACGCGTTTAGTCAGAAAGATGCAGGTAACATGAAAGAAGCGACCTTCTGAAAAAACGTGGAGGAAAAAAATATCGGTCGTCATCAAAATCCCTAAGAGGTTGTTTCTCGAAATGAAGGTGTCAACCCCCCCTGAAATTGCATCTTTAACGTAGTTTCCGTGTGCTGTAAGAAGCCACGGAATCAGTGGATGTTACATACTATCTCTTTTTATCTCCTAGCACCCTTAATTATGGTCACATGAATATTGTAAGTGGGAAAGCAGAGCTTAATTCGGCTACTTTCCAAAACGTTTTCCTCATTATTCGTGATAACAATTCTGTGTGTTTTCATACCTATCTTTCTCGATTTGAAATTTGAATTGCGACATCATTGAGTCTAAGAACCGGGTTTAATATTTAATATGCGTTTTGTTTCACAGGTGAAGCAGATGGCAAATGCAGACGAACGCATCAGAGTGATGAATGAGGTTCTTAGTGGAATCAAGGTACGATCCGGCTTTGTGTTCTAGATAGGAGAATTGCTAGTAGTTGATTGATTTTTGTAATGTAATCGTAAAGACTGAGTCCCTAACCAATGGTGAATTTAGTTTTATCTACTGAGTTGATAATGTCAGGTGGCTACCGTAATTGAGCTGACATTTCGAGTCTTAACCCTTTCGTCATCGCCCTGACGAAAGACTAACGCTCGAAAAGTCAGCTTTACTGTGGCCAACTCACATTATCAACACAGATGATGAAACCAAATTATCTTGTTATACACCAAACACAGCTTCTTTAGAAAATTACCCCCTTTTACCCATTAGTTTGGTTAGTTTGGCAATGGTTTTTTGTGTTGAATGCTAGCTACAGCGTTGTTTCGGGCAATATTTTAACTGCATCAAGCTTTCATTCATGCATGTGTTTCTACACTCTTCTCCTGTCATATTTGCTTTCATTACTTATTGACTGTTTTTGTTTTAATCCATCTCTACTCATCAGGTTCTGAAGCTGTATGCTTGGGAAGAATCCTTCATGAATAAGATCATTTCTGTCAGAAATAAGGAACTGCATCATCTGACCAACAGCATGTACTTAGGCGCAGCTGTTTCATTCACTTTCATTTGCGCTCCTTTTTTGGTGAGAAAACTCAAACTGCATTATTTCAGAATTTACCCTTTGGGTTGTCGTTGCCTTGGCCTCGAGAGGCTTTTCTTGAATGGTTCGACTTGTCGGGGTCAGATTCCGTCGGAAGAAATCTGATGGTATTCAGGGCAGGGCTGCAGAACGCTTTAAGCCCTAGCATCTGAGAGACAGTGACTCCTTTTGGCTACCAAACGATTAGTCAACCGTATAGATTTTAAATGAAGTTGTACAAGGACAGGGAAAGTTTTCTTTGTTCTAATTTCTCTGCTGTGCTCTTTAACAGGTGTCTCTGGCCACATTTGCGGTATACGTCCTTCTTGGTAATGAGCTGACCGCTAAGAAAGCTTTTGTAGCAATTTCTCTGTTCAACATTCTTCGCTTCCCTCTTATGATGTTACCACGAGTAATAGTGAATGTTATTCAGGTGAGTTCTGATTTTGTACAAACAGGTCCGTTTTCCTATCACACCTAACTTTGTACGAAAACGATGTGCGAATTCTGTTACGGGTAAAATTGACTTTAAGTCGTGTAGAACTTTGACAGTTACATGTACGTCTTAGAACTCAACGTTGAAGTCTTGTTAGCGCTTTGTTCTTACAATTGTTTCCATTGTGTTAGGCTCAAGTTTCCTTTCATCGATTGGAGCAATTCCTTGGACTTGAAGAATTACAACACGAAAATGTCCAACGCAATATGCCGTCACACTGTAAGTTTGAACGACCGGACGCACTTACCACATAACGTTCGTTTTAGATGAAGACACATTTTAGCGCTAAAATGCTGAAACCTTTCACCCCCGTAAAGCGATGGGTGTCATCATTGGTCATCGGGGGCATTATAGGGCATGACCAATCACATCTCAGAATATTGATCTACGTGGTAAAAACTAACCGATTATTTGGCTGAACTGGCATTCAAGATGGCGATTTGATTTTTAACACAATCATATGATTGGTAAATTTCATTCCCTCTAGAAAAAGGAGAAGTACTCCAACTCTCATCTATGCGAGTTAGTATCCAGTGCATACCCATTAAGTAATTTTTTTTTGCCAGCTTTGATCAAGTCAATCTTTTTCTCCCTGTAGGTTCTAACCTGGCAATTTTTGTGAAAAATGGTTCATTTTGTTGGGACAGAACCGATGATATTCCTGCTTTGAGAAAGTAAGTAAGCTTCAGATTTCCAGTGTCTTGTTTCAATTAAATAGATCCTTGCATAGTTTTTGTTTGATCAAAGTTAACGTAGAAATTTAAAGCGATTCTCGTTCATCATATCCTAATATCATGATAAAGTGGCGAGATTTTGGTTATCTATTCTGGGCCTCTTCTTGGTCTACATGCGTAGAGTAGATCCCGAATCCAAAAGATTCAGATCGCTTCAGCCTTCTCGCAATGATACAACATTTTGGAACGCTACCCATCTGTATGAAAGTGTTCTGCACTCCGCCTCCTCACATTTCAAGGAAACGATTACACTTCCCTAGATATCTGTGTCGTTGCTTTACTGGAATTATTCATTAAATTTTCCTACTGAAACGGATTTTTCCTGCAAAATCGCGTAGCTTCGATCACACGCTGTTGGGATTGTCGTCTTTTTCCTCAAGAGGACTATAATGACAATTTTACTGACCTTTCTAAATGAAACAGATCTTTCTTGCAAAATCGCGTAGCTTCGATCGCGCGCTGTGGGGATTATCGTCTTTTTTACTGACCTCTCTAAATGAAACGGATTTTTCCTGCAAAATCGCGTAGCTTCGATCACACGCTGTTGGGATAATCGTATTTTTCCTCAAGAGGACCATGATGCCAATTTGACTGTCCTTTTTCCTTTTTTCTTCAAAGCATCAATTTAAGCATTGCCACTGGCTCACTTGTGGCTGTGGTCGGTCAGGTTGGTTGTGGAAAGTCAACTCTGTTGTCAGCTCTCCTCGGAGAAACAAATAAAAGCGATGGAAAAGTTTTTGTGCAGGTTTGTTTCTACACATTTCAAGGTCACCACATTTGTCCACTGTTTGTGATAGGTTGATCACAGGAGCTCATACTGGTAACCCACTTACACGTCTTGTGATGGATAAGTTGAAAAGTTGCCCTTTAACTTTGAAAAGCAATTAACTTGGAACCAAACATGCAGTTTCAGTTCATTAAACAACAAACAGGTCTAGAGACTAAACGTATGTTTGTCAACAATTAGGTGTATTATCGATCCACACCAATTTTCTATTTTTAAGTCTACTAGAAAATGTACGTGACATGGAAAGGAGAATTATAAAAGCTAATAATCCGACCTTGGGAGTTGAAGGGTTACTTAAGTAAAGACTTTACTTAGCACCACGGCTAATGGCCTTTCCTCTGTCCTCCGTCAAAAAATCGGTTTCCTTTTTTCCTTTTTTTGAAATATTAGGGAACGACTGCTTATGTTCCGCAGCAAGCTTGGATCCAGAATGCAACGCTTCAGGAAAATGTGCTGTTTGGTAATCCACGTGACTCTGCACGCTATAAACAAGTGATTAGCGCCTGTGCCTTGGAACCTGATATTCAGGTTTTACCAGCAGGAGACATGACGGAGATTGGTGAAAAGGTACAAAATGACCTCATTAGAAACAACAACAACAACTGATAACAACAAAAACAACAACAATTGACAACAACAAAAACTACAACAGTGACCGCACTTAATTTATTCTTCGTTTAACCTGTCTTGATCCAACCATTCCTTGCAGAATGTTTCCAATGAAACTTAGCCTAGCACACCGATTGCGTATATGAATATAGAGAGCAAATGTCACGCGGGATCGGGAGGTGGTCTTTTCTTAAACTTCCTTGTGACTGGCTAAAGGTTGCGTCCTCTCATGCTTGCTCTTGTGGCGACGGTCACTGAAAATGTGTTGCACTTTGGTTGAATGCAGAAGGTGAAAAGCTCCGTGTAGCGCCTTTCCTTCCTCAACGTACTTATCACCCTTAACCCTTATTTATATTTTTTGACATTTAGCTAGGACCTCCCTGAAAATCATGTTTGTATGAGCGGAGCATCCTCATTAAAGATCACTTCTCACTCTTAACTTCCAGAAGCGATTAACATGTAACCTCTCCTTCTAATATCCATACATTGTCCATCAAACAAGTAATAAGAATACTAAAACTTGTCTAGGAGAAGTTGTTATCTTGATCTTACACCAAATTCTTGTAACCAAAATACTAGGAAGTGTGTGGCAGCTAGAGGGGATAATTAACAATTAGATCTTGGGAGTTAAAGGGTTAAATGTGTATTTATTTATTTATTTATTTATTTTTAAAGGGTATAAACCTCAGTGGTGGGCAGAAACAGCGTGTAAGCTTGGCTCGTGCTGTGTATTTCAATACTGATATATACCTGTTGGACGATCCACTCAGTGCTGTGGATTCGCATGTTGGAAAACATATATTTGACGAAGTTATTGGACCTCAGGGACTGTTGAAGGAAAAGGTAAAAGCATAACTGTATTAAAATATTTTTCTGTAACGAGAGGGTGTGCTTGTGTTTGGCCAAAAGGACAAGAATACTTCGGGCCAATCTTCAACAGACTGCACGTCGAGTTTTGCGGCAATATTTTTCTACAGGTTTTATGTTTATGTCTTCAAAATGACTGCTATTAAACTGAACAGTTAAGTTTTCTGAAGGAAAACGTATGAGGTTCACTGTATCAGTTTTTATTGTATAGTTCTAGTCAAAAGAGCTGAGTCGCTAAAAAAGAATTAAAATTTCAATTTGAATTAGTTATCTCAGAATTTCAGGCAACTCGCACTCAGAGCTCGTGCACGTAGCTTGCGCAGTATCACATTTAAAGGGCCCACAATGTTGCCACCGAAAATTTGCGCATATGTCTTAGACACGTGTGAAACGTGTTAGTGAAATTGACATTTTTATCCCGTAGACACGTGTTCTTGTGACACATGGTATTCAGTTCTTACCATTTGTGGACCAAATAATTGTCCTTCGAGATGGTGAGGTTTGTGAGGTAAGATTTAGGTTTTTTTTTTTCCTTTTGTCCATGTCTTTTCCATTCTTAAACTTCTTGGGGGCTTTGAAACGACATGGAATTTAAACGGTAAAAGAGATGTGAGATGCTTCTCAGTATATTCTATTGTCTCTGTAGGGGTGGAACACATATTCGTGTGAAAAGATTTCTTCCCCCATGTTATAACCATGAATTGATACCCAGTCTCAACAGAGTTCACCAGTCGTACCACTGGTACCTAATAACCCTTATGTTATGCGTGGTAATTGCCCCTATTGCGCCCCCTTAATGTTTGACTGAAGCTAGAATGTATACTACAGAATTAGAATTCTGCTGAAGGACTGGGATTCATGCCTACAAGTTGCATTGCTGTATGAATTATAAACTAACAGTGGGCGGATAAAGCTGGAATTAATCCCTGTCAAAACCAGATTAGTGCTAACTTCAAGCAAATTACGACCTCTACTTTTCCTGAGCGAGGGATGCGCCAGTTTAACTCGCACGTTCTCGTGAGTTTTGTATTGCGGGAACTTTGCGACGTTAATAAATTATTTTCGTTGTAGTTTCACGGTTAATCACGGGATCCTCCTGAAAACCACCTGCGGTGAGTGAGGCAATTCCTCTTTCGAACGCTCGGTTAAGTGAACATACGTCTTTCGAACGCTCGTTTAAATGAACATACGTCTCAAAAACGAAGGGAAAGTAGAAAAATTATGGGTAGAAGATTGGCAACCAAGTAAAACTTCTGTTTGAACCTCTGAAATTCAAAGTGGTGCATGTTTATTAGAGCATATGAGACAGCGATAAATGTAAGAAATGCACAACTATAGCTAGTTGCAACGTTTTCTTAAGTAGTGATTAGGAAATAAAAGTATATTGATTAAAACCTATTTTCACGTTTGTCTCATTAATTTCTCGTTACTCTAAATTATCAATTTTCAACCTTTCACGTGTATGGCGCAAAATGACTCTCTAACATGCTAAACGAGACCTGCAATGACATACGGAATAGTTGATAATTTCCACAAGTCTTAAGGGAATTGTATGAACAAATTTATCAACTAGTTGGTTAAAAAACACAGACGTAGTATATACCTATGACAAACTGATATATCGATTATTTCTACCCATCTTATTCAGGATGTTTGAAATTCCTTCACATGTGAAAATGTTTGTTGTAGGTTGGTACCTATACAGAGCTTAAATCATCTCAAGGGTGGTTTGCTGAATTTTTGGATATCTACGCAGGAGAGAACAGCGGCGCACAGAGTAAGTTAAGCATAATGTCGATTCGTAATGCTCTAGTATTTTAACTTCTTATGGTGAGGGCGTTGACGATTTATTTTTTAAAGAAAGTTTCGCGAGCTGGCCTCTCCACCCTTACTCAAAGTTGAGATCCAAGGCTGTTTTAAAGTTGACTGGATGACTAATTATGATGACTAACCAGCATCGCTGAACCTCTCAGATCCTTTAATTGCGTATGTGCTTGAACTGATGCATGTGAATCAAATTAGTACATTCTTTATAAGAATAGGGAATTTCCAATAGTTGAACTGGTGTATCCCTCTCTGGTGTATCCTTTATTTGTAAATTATTTTATACTTTACAGTGGGTAAAGAAAACATTGGAGAGGTTTCAAGTCAAGGAAAATCTTTACATAAAGGGAGAAATTCTAGAAATGTGGCCTACAATCGATCTGTCAGCTGTCATCACCTAGGAAACGAGCTTCATCCTCGTCACCAGGCAGCAAAATCGCAGAGTGAAGTTAACTTAGCAAGGCTTATCGTTGACAAACAATCTGGAAACCGATCTCCACTGAAAAAGTTGCTAGATCTTGAAAATCGCCACAGCCTTGTTAGTATGCACTCGTTGAACAGTCTGTTATCTGGCTGTGAAGGTTTGGACGCCAATTATGAAGTGGAAGATGAGCCCTTATTTGATACTGCAAATGATGAAGACGAAACAGTGTCGTCTTTAGATGTTCCACGAAATTTCCAACATCAGCGAAGTGTTGTTAGTGGCGCCTCGGTGAATAGTTTATTATCGCTGGTAGAAGAAGAAGAAAGCACTAAAGACCGCGTTGAAAAACCACCAGTGATTTGTATTAACGAACCTGAAGACAGCCCTGGCATGAGAGAAAAGGAAAATGAAAGTTTACTCGCAAACGAAGGAACCGGTGAAAGAGAGATAGTCGTCGAGAAAAGAGAGAAGAAAGAAAAAACAGGCAGGACAACCTCTGATGAAAGGTCGCAGACGGGAAGGGTAGGTTTCTACTGAGTCATTCGGTACCTTAAACGTTCGATTTTGATGTCTACAGGCCTTTTTTCATTCTTGAGTCATTAGCTTCTTGGGTCATATATGGGGAACAGGTACGATACGGTGGTTAAAACATCCACCTTGCACCGCGGTGGTCTGGTTCGATTCTGAAACCAGTTCTCACGCGTTGGTCAATTTTTAACTAGTTCTCATCCTTACTCCACGGGGTTTTTTCTTTGGGTTCTCCAGTTTTCCTGTCTTCAAAAAAGCTGACACCTTGAAATCAACTTGGCAGGATGTAGTGAATAAATTAAGCCGCCTCATAGGTACCATTTGCCAAATCCAATTTGGCGTTTATTAATCCTGTTTATTTTACCTTCCATTCAGGCTTCATCAGATAAGAATTAATCACTTTTTTTTCTCGTTTTTATTAACAGGTGAAGTTCTCCGTCATATGGGCGTATGCAGGCAGTCTAGGCATTCTCTGTTCTTTTCTAATTCTCTTCAGCGGTTTTGGAGCTGAATCAGCGATCATTATGTCACGCATATGGCTCGCCAAATGGAGTTCTACCAATGTCACGACATCACAGCAGCGTGACACATTCCTTGGAGTTTATGGTGCATTGGGGTTTGGGCAAGTCCTTCTTGTTAGTGCAATGTCTCTTGTTCTAACGTACAGTGCAATGAAAGCCGCCAGAAACTTACATCATGGACTACTTGTTAACATTATGCATTTACCGATGCAATTTTTCGAAACTACACCGCTGGGAAGAATTGTAAACCGCTTTTCCAGAGACATAAACTCCGTTGACGATAAAATTCCACGCGCCTTGGGGATGTTTCTCAGAACTTTCCTGACCACTCTTGGAACAATTGTCATTATTAGTTATTCTACACCTCTGTTTCTAACTTGTGTTTTACCACTTGGTGCCCTGTACTTATTTATTCAGGTAAGAGGTATTCAACAATAACAACATAAGCTTTGAGATTTCGAGACATTATACAATAAAACAAAAAAAAAACCAAAAAACCAAAAAACATAAGAAAAAACAGGAAACAAACAAAACAAGAACAATTAAAATTAAGGAAGTGTGTGAACAACTGTTACGAATTTGGAAAGGTGATGTTTCGTAGGTCAATTCCTAGTCGGATCAATTGCTTAGTTTATATGTATATTTTTTATTCCATGTCGGTTTGTTTATTTTCTTTCATTTTCCTTTATTTTACAATAGAGAGCGTTCGTAGCAACATCTCGTCAGCTCAGAAGAATAGAATCTGTCAGCCGTTCTCCAATCTATAATCATTTCTTTGAAACCATCAACGGTACAAGCACCATTCGCGCGTATTCTCAGCAACAGAGGTTTATTTCAGAGAGCTATCGTCGAATGGACGAGTCTCAAGTGGCACATTATCCAGCTATTTCAGCAAACAGGTATTTCTACTTATTTGAGTTAATTGGCGAAAGATTTCTATTGGCAGATGATTTTCACCAAAGTTTATAGATTATGAGCTGTTTTCCTTGACAAATTGAGGGCCACGAGTTTATCAGTATTTCATACTGTCAAGTGCCATTCTCGAAAAATAAAGTTGATTATTATTGTTCTTAAATATTTATTGTTTTCTTCATAAGGTGGTTGGCACTACGCTTGGAATTCATTGGAGCTGCCATTCTGTTTTTCGCTTCGTTGTTTGCTGTAATAGCCAGAGAGACCATAGCCCCTGGCCTTGTTGGGCTGTCTGTGGCATACGCATTACAGGTAACCAAAGACGAAAGATCGCATCGTTCCGCCCAGTGCGAGAGCTGTAGTGACTTTTAAGACGGATTAATAATGGTGATAGGATCGAGTAGAGTCCAATTCGGTCAGTAATGATACAAGTGATTGACAGTTAATTAGGAGAATGATTACTGACAGAATTGGACGACACAAAGTCTTGCTACCAATTAGTCAAAACTATGACAAAATTTGAGAAAGAAACCAGACATCGGTCATACGTTTTCATTTAAAAAACAACATTTAACTCGGCGAAAAGCGAGGCAGCAGCGCGCGCACAAGACGCGTTCTGTTCACTTACATGGGCATGGTGTTTTAACTGCCCTATTACACTGTCCAGTTAGAAGCATGACGCGTACACCGTCCTATTAGTGCTTAAATCGGGCTGGTGATAACAAATCACGTGCGAGAAATTTGTTGTAGTGTTGATAATGTCTTTAGTTAAATATTCCTCCATTTTGGAAATTGCCTTGTTTTTCTTTGGATAAGTGGTTGTTGCTATGGTTATTGTGATCAATTCTGTGATTGGTGGATTAAGCTGATAGGTCTTAGTATGATTGGCTGCCTCAACTGTCCGATTACAGGTGCCTGATTACAGCCAACTGTGCGATTACAACTGTACAGAATGATTCGTGAAAATTGAAGCAGCTGATGCACCAATCACATTTGAGGAAATTGTAATGGTTATGATTAATTATTGTTATACAGCAACTGCTTCTCATAATTGGGCTGGACGTTTAACCCTATTTCCAAAATGGCCTTTTCACGTTACTTCACATTAAACGAGTAGGCCTGCAAAAATAAGAATTTTGGTGATTACATAATGTTTGTGTTGTAATTTAGAAATTTAGGAGAACTAAGGAATAAGATTATCCAGTTAACTGCATGTAAGGCGCCTCGAAATTTTCTGTGTTCCTTTAGAGAATTCTTCATAAAATTTTGAACACTCTGCGTTCTCTACAGATCACAGGTTCACTAAATTGGATGGTGCGCCAGAGTAGCGAATTGGAAACTAACATTGTTGCGGTAGAGCGAATTAAAGAGTATTCAGCAGTTACTAGAGAGGTGAGTTCTCCGTTCTGCTTTATGTAATTCTTGTAAATATAGCGCACTTTCGATTGCGTTTCACAAACCGGCCTAAACCCAAAGTAATGAAAACACTGGTTACCATTCCCGACCAGGGCACTCTTTTGGGTCTGCAGCATAAATTGCATTTAAACACGATCGACCTAGTAGCCATCGATTTTGGTAATGATTGGCCAGTTACTATGAACACTTTAGTGAAAGTTCTTTAATGGCACTCGCTTAAAGGAATGAAAAACTGCATATCGTAACATGGCCCTCTAAATCTTGAAACTCGATTAAATGAGATGTGGTGATTTATGTTTTACAGGCCGATTGGATAATTCCCTCTCACCGTCCTCCTAGTGAGTGGCCTCACCAGGGTAAGGTAGAAATAGAACACTTTGACTTGCGTTACAGAGAACAGTTACCTCTCGTGCTCAAAGACATCAATTGCACCATTGGAGCAAGAGAGAAGGTGAGTTTTCTGTTACAGTATTCCAGATTACCCAGTTGAAAACGTAACGTTTACCTACCCCCAACAACATACCCAACTCTTCTTGCGGAAGAAGTAAATAGATACATAGGCGAGCGACGGCCTTACAGAATTCTTGATTCACGCTCTCGATAGGTTTATTGTGCTATGCTATTGGAGAAAACATTTTCCGGCTCCCACAATTCCTCTCTCCATCCAGGATGGTTTACCAACGTACATAGTAGATGGGTTTATTCTCAAGGGGGTCTTAATAAATGCTGAAGAGTGTTTTCGATTGGTTATCCCATTCAAGAGGAGTATCAAGTCACTACATGTTTAGTATACCGGGTTAAGCTCTGGCAAGATTGAGCCGCCAGTCTGGTAAAAATGAACGTAAGCCTTTTGTATGATTTATCATTATCATAATGTTTTCACAATCCTTCCTTTTTTTCTGGCAAAACAGGTCGGTATTGTGGGTCGCACGGGAGCTGGCAAGTCAACTCTTACCTTAGCCTTGTTTCGTATTCTGGAGAGAGCTGGTGGACGGATTCTTATTGATGGTTTTGATATCGCTGCGATCGGACTGCAAGATCTGCGGTCACGACTCACCATCATTCCACAAGTAAGTGAGACTAATTTGATTGAGAGTAGAAAAAAATACAGGTCTACAAAAGACCTGCAAGAGTCTTGATATCCTGAATATAATATTATCATCGTAATAATTTTTTAATCATTTTAATATTATTTTAGCCATTTTAAATATCATTAACATCATCATATCATTATTTTTATTTGTTTTTTTTTAATTATTATTTTTTTCCCTTTTTACAAGAAAACATTGAACAACCCGATATACCAACTGTATCTTACTTGTTTATTAACGGTCTACGTTTAGAAATCGGTTTTTTTGTTTCCTGTTATCAGCGTGATGTGTGTGCTAAGTGTGTTCTCCAGAAAACGAAAGTGATATACACCGCCTAAAAAAAAGTTGTCATATAACTCCCCGGTCTTCCCAAAAGGACCACCCATCTCTCTGCAACGGTCACTTTCCTCTGTCCCTAACGTGGCCTTCATGGAGAGGTCAAAATGATGGAGGTGTATCTGGTCCTTATTTGGTCAAGCTTGGAGAACCTCCATGATCAGTTTAGTACATACAGTTATTTCAATTTTTGTTTTATTTGTTTAACTATTTGCTTATTTTGAATATTCTCTTCGCAGGATCCCATGTTATTTTCAGGAAGTCTCAGGCTAAACTTAGACCCTTTTAATAAATACTCAGATGAAGAGCTGTGGAATGCTCTTGAAGTGGCCCACCTGAAGAGTTTCGTGTCGGGTCTTGATAAAGGACTTGAATTTGTCATTCAAGACGGAGGCGAGAATCTGAGGTAGAATTTTTTTTCCATTTGTTATCATTTGGACTCTAAATGAATGTATGCCTTCGTTCAAGGATCTGTGTTTAAGTTGTAGAATTTAAACCACTCAATGGCAACTCCTAAAAAATGTAAGGCGGGGGTGTTCTATTAGCAGGCCGTGGCAAGCTGTTGCGCTATCTGCTTTGGTTGATATGACGATTCTTTGCGAAAATCCATTCTTTTTACTTCTTTATAGTGTTGGCCAACGGCAGTTGGTGTGTTTAGGACGTGCACTGCTCCGAAAGAGCAAAATTCTAGTTCTTGACGAGGCTACAGCTGCTGTGGACCTGGAAACTGATGAACTAATTCAAAAGACGATTCGGCGAGAGTTCGCTGACCGGACAGTGTTCACGATCGCGCACAGGCTCAACACCATCATGGACTACGAAAGGTATCACTCTTTTTCCCTAAAAGAAGAAAGCTTTTGCGCTCTATTTGACCTTTTTGATATAAGATCAAACTTAAATAATGATAATACGAGTATTATTAGTATTAATATAATAAGTATTGTGAAAGCAATCTTTTGTTACCCTTTTTTTGAGACATTCCAGGTACCAGTAGTCCTGAAAAGACTCCAATCGATTAAAGGGACCAAATCTCATCTCAGAGGTCTAGCACACTAACCTTTGCGTTTCTCAATAGAGCAGTAGGGGTTGACTCAATCCTGAGTTTGAGCTGAAATGGTCCTTTTCTTTTCTCGTCAGGGTTATGGTCCTAACAGACGGTTCAGTAGCGGAGTTTGACTCGCCCTCAAACTTGCTGTCAAGAAGAGGAATGTTCTACAGCATGGCTCGTGATGCGGGTTTGGCTTGACAAAATTTTCTCATATTTTTGTAAGGGCTGATACGCATTAGCCCAGAGCAGGAAAGAGGTTTGGGGAAAACTCCTGTAGAGCTCAAATTGCCATTACCCACCCCCTTTTCTCCTTTTCAATCAACTCAGATAGGTCTGTCTTGGAATTACGATTGCGTTATAACCAATTCACTACGTCTTTGATTTAAGTTATTCATTGCGCAATTTTTTGACAATGTAACTTTATGGCAATGTATGTTATTAAGACAAAGTTAATATAATTATAAAAAAAAAGACCAAATTGAAAAACAAATAGGGAAAGGAAACCTTTTTTAAAATCAATAGAGAGAACGTAACTTGTTATCAGTCGTTGATGTTTATAGATTTTATTGCATTCCTAATCTCAAAACTTCATAGGCAAAGCTAGGATACAGACTTATAGGAAGCATACAAATATGAAATCGTGTTTGGGGAACTTGATTCTCTTGGTTAAAAAAAAAGAAGAACAAAATGTAAAAGATTCAAGTTTAATAAAATTTATGTTTTTATACTTTTGTGATGATGGTAACAGATGAATTTAACAACAGCACATCTTGGAACAGAAAAAAATCGAGTCATCCACATATTTCAAAACGTTTTCCAGTAATATTATGTTTTTGTAGAATTTTTGACTTACAGTATGATATGAAAAATGGAAAAGTCAGAAAGGGCATGGTAAAAGGCCAAACTGAAGTTAATTAATGAACCTTTTATCATTTGTCTGATCATGACTATAGATTTTCATAGTACTGACCGCGGCGTTACGACTGCTCTATTGTTGGTTGTCGTCAGCCGACGTGGTTGAATCTGTACGTGTCGCTCTCTATAGCACCTTGGCTTGCTATTGTTGGTGTTTTTTGAAGTGCTGTCTTTGGTGCATTTCGATCCTTAATACTCATTCCGACAGTTGTTGTGTTGTTCTCTCATAGGCCCCATTTGGCATAACTTGGCTGTAGAGGCTTTTTATTGTAGGCATCCAGGCTTCAGTTTCGATTACGCTGCCTCTATCGACCTCATAAGAATGAGGTCTTCTGTGGATGGCCTTTTTCACCCAAAGGGTGTACCAGTGAGGGTCATGATCAGTAGCTTTAACCTTGTACAAAACACGTACGTGTCCTGTTCTTTAGTGTGTTCTGAAACAGCTGAGTTCTGAACTCGAGCAAGACGTATGTCTCTTCTCTGAACATTGGCCATCTTTCTTTGATTACGACACTATTAATGACATTTTGGTAAACGTTGAGGGCATGGAGAGTTTCATTCTGAGGGCTTTTATGGTCATCTTGCCACTAGTGATTACTCATGGACTTGAATTGAATCTGTTAAGTCCCTTTTTTTTAATTTCTTCCATGTTGAGTATTTACAAGCTGTTTTGTGACTTCAGATGTAAATTATCCAGAGAATCATGACGAAACTTCTTGCTTTGCCGACAATATTAATAAATTTTAAAAGTCTGTTACTTTTATCATTTATGGATGGATTACGTATTGATCACTAGACAGCGCGTCGGTGCCGAATAGGATTGGGAACAGTAAGTTGTCTCGGGACCAAACCGGAGGTTTGGTGAGAACAGAGCAGTTGTCTCTCTTTAATCCGAGAGGAGGAAATAAAAGAAATAATTTAATTTTACAGATTTTTAGCGGACAAAAACTTTCCAGAAATCCTTTAGAAATATTGGGCCTTTCCAATCATCGCAATCCCATCTTGTTGTATACAGTCACAGATTCCAATGGTACAGAGCTACTTCAAAAGCAGACTGATCATACAATCTGTTTTGATCACGGCTATGTCCCCATTTATCAACGTTGTAGAAAACTTTTACTTTTCTCCAACTGGAACAAACTCCCGCCCAAAACGAGCTATCATCAACAAATTGAATCCTCTCAAATGAGCCGCAGGCTTTGGGCTGAGCATCCGTCTCGCCACTTGCATTCTGAATTACAGCTCCATCGTCCTTGTTGTTTACTGCAATGGAATCTAAAGTTGATTAAAAGACATGCATTTTTTTCTTTAGCTCTGTCGTGGCTTTTCGTGAGACACATCTTGTTTGGGTAAGTATTGAGCCTATGAAATGTTGTTTCCACTTAAAAATTATAGTAACCGTCGAAGACCAAGTTTCAAACACGAAGCCAGCCTCCTGAGATTGTTAAGTAAAACAAATTGTTTAGGAGAAAACTGAAACTGCATCAAATTATGTTGTGACTAAAACTTTGTCACCGCTTTAGAATTTTTCAGTTGGATTTTTTCTCGGTAAAACTTTCTAAGAAAGGATTTAATCCTTTTTTTTTCTACCAAGCCTCTTGCACTGACAATTAATAATTCATTACGGCGTTAGACGGTTACACTCACAACAAAGGGGGTAAGTTTCTTAAGAAACAGTGGTGCTGCATCGGTGGGAGAGAATAACAGGGTAATTTGACATTTATTAGCAACTGGGTTGATAATATCTGCTTTCGCTCTGACGAAGGGCTAACGCTGAAAACGTCGGCTTTGATTTTATTTACGGTAGCCAATTTACGTTGTCAGCTCAGTTTATAATACCAAATTACCTTGTTGTATTCTTACACTACGCATAATCTTATGCCTGTGTAACCGCTGGTTCGTTTCATCAGTTGAATAAGATAGATGGTATAAAACCTAAAACCTTTTCACTCTCAAAATCTCATCATTAGTCCTTATCACCTTTTCTGCGTATTTCTCATGGCGAAAGTTTTGATAAATTACTGCTCAATCGTGCAATGTCTATATCTTCTTTATCAGCTCACGCATTACCCGTCTGTTTTCGTGATACTGTGAGGAGAAATAACCTATTTGTCTCCCATGGGAATGAAAGGCTGTTACTCCTTGCTGTGTGCTGAGTTTTAATTAATGACCTAAACATTTTCACGATTGTTCGAGTAATTTCGAGAAACATCTGCATCTAAAGGTGGTAATATGGTACTTGAAAAAAAAAGAAAAAAAGGAATTCCTATACAATACAAGTCAAGACTTGTTTAGTTGTAGTATTCAGAGGTTTACTCTATTAACTTTGTTATCATAATTTTAAAATTCCATATCTGAATAAAGCTATTTTGTTTTAGTATTTGTGTTAGTTTTCGGCGACGCTCTCTGTTTCAATTGCTAATTGCCAACGGGTTTCCAAAACAAGAAATATTTGAAATTTAACTCTCTCAGAAAAATATTTATCTAATCACCTCTGGTCTCAAAACTTTAATAACATAACCTTGTTGGAGATATTTCTGATGTTTGATAATCTTGAAAGAAGCCGACAACTTTTTCTATAATAAAAATATATCCTTTGTACTCAAACACAAAGACGTGATGAATGATTAAACTCATTATGTTATAGTATACTATACAATACATTGTTAGTATTTAATGAATCTTCTCGAAGTTTGTATCCTTGTTTTCTCGAAACTTATAAATTTGTTTTTGATAGGCTATTCACGTCGAGCGTATATTGAACTGTCTTCAATGCAGAAGAATTTCGTTCAATTTTGGGTATATTGTGGAAATTTAATCTGAACTTAATGGCCTGGCAAACTTCATATATCACAGTAATGATTATAATTTCACGAGTGTTTTACATTACTAGCCATGAGTGCGGAACCGATATTTATTCCTTTTATCAAATGATGCTCAAAGGCCACACTTTTAAGTCATTCCCAATTCGACCAGGTTCGCTGGATTGCAGAGAAGCTTGCCTCGCTGACAGCAGATGCCAAAGTTATAACGTAGTGTTCAAAGGCATTTGTGAGTTAAATAACAGAACTAGGGAGGCAAGGCCGGAGAATTTTGTCAGAAACCGGGAAAGATATTATATGAAGAAAAGTTCAAAAAGAGGTATGAAAATCGCCTAATGGCAAAAACATCATTCTAAATCTAATTTTTTTCATTATATTTTTACTTATTAATCTTAGGTGATAAGTCATAATTTTAGGAAAGGTTGCTCACTCAAGAAAGAACGAAAGAAGGAACATACTTTCCTGTTGCTTTAATAGAATAGGCACGCTAGAGTGATATCCCAACCATCTTCATCATTATTTTGGGGGGAGAAAAGTGGGAGCACTAAAGCGACACCGAGCGAAACGAGACCTGTACTTAACACAACTCATGACTTTAAAACAAAATTCTATGGTAAAGATAATCGAACGTTTCATGGCTGGTTTGTCTCATGGTATAGAATCCGGCTTATCCGTATAAGCAACAACCTCTCTCAGTCTAAACTTTCCAAACTTACGTAAACAAATCAGACCCAACACTTTTTACAAGTGTTTCTTGAATAAAATTTTGACATAAATGCATACTGCTGTATCTGTGTAGATACCCTTGGTTGGAGTCGCGACCGACCTGCCTATTCTTGTAAACACATCCTGAACTCTGGGAATCATAAAGGAGACGGGGAGTACTGGATCGATCCTGAGGAGAGTGGGACTCCTTTTAAAGCCTACTGTGACATGACAACTAGCGGTGGTGAGTGATGGAAAATATGGTCAGAGGCTCTGGCTTGGCCGTACCTATCAACATTAACTGTTGTTAAGTTACCGTGGAGGATCATTTTTCAAAAAAGTTGCCAAGTCTGACTCATAACGAGCAAGATTTGTTCTAATATCTCAAAATTGCCATTTAATTGCCAGTTAAGTTTTAAAAGTTGTAGTGTAACAATTAGCGAAAAGTTAAGTTTTAAAAGTTGTAATGTAACAACTGTAGCGTAACAACGTACTATCTGATGATGCCTAGAGGCCACATGGCGTGAGAAATAATATTGACAAGAAAACAAAACAAACAAAACGAAGAAAAAGTGAAATAAACCACATCACAAACACCAACAAATACACAAAATGCCTCCTTATCTTTTCAAAAATGCATCACAAGTGTCCAGGTACTAATTTTGCTGTCATTTTTTTTTCTACGCGATGACCAATCATAATTTCAGGAGGTTGGCTCGTTGTCTGCAATGTTGTTTTCAACGGCTCCTCCGATATATCAGTGACGTCATCATACCGCGGAATTCAAAACTATGACGATCACAGTAAGATGTGTCTTGGTAAAGAAGCCATGAAACAATTCCAAACCATCTTGTCGTTCACTCAGCTGAGGTTCTACTGCAGAAAGCAAAATACTGGGCGTACTTTTCACGTGGTCACGGCGGCTAACAGCAGTGGTCAAGCTGTGGTTCGGTACTTTAGCGATCTGACTGATGCGATGCCCAATGCCTGTGGCTCGTTCGTAAGAATGGATGATGACGACTCGTTGCTAGCCGAAAACTGCCACAAATGGGGGGAAGAGAATGGAACTCACATGGTAGGCAAATGGGGACATAGCAACGTCAAACAAAGATTGTATAATCACGCCGCTTTCATTGCAGGCCATTATCACTGGGTGATACAATCGAGTAGATGGGAATGCGATGACTTCCGGGGTAACGTCTCCATCGGTGATTTTTGGAAAATCTTTGTTCGTTAGAAGCTGAACAGCTGATATTTTCTAAATGAGAAGTCCTGATCGACCTTCTAGGAGCAATTCCTAACTGCGCATTAAAAGAATAACTCTGTAAGTTTTTTTAATTTTACCAGGTCACTTTCCTCTTTTTCCTTGGTCTGTCAGTACATTGTTCAAACTTGAAGAAATTAGATTTTCTATTGTTTTGCTCGACCGAGCGTACCTATCTCTCGGTTTCCATACTTGCTGGTAGCTGGTGTTACGTTTTATTTACCATATTTATAAGTTTCTCACTCGGCTAACTTCAGTGCAAAGGCAGTGACCTATTTTCATAGTCTTGTAGTAGCAGTCTCTAAGTCCAGTTATGATGAAATTCCCACGTGCCCTCCCGATATTATTGGGGCGGGTATTAGGGTAAACGTCTTGGGTAAATATCGGATCGAGGCGTTAGGAGGCTTTTAATAAGCACCAATACAGCCATGTTTTTTTTTTAACTGAAAGTTACTCTCGCTACCTTTTTCAAGATAAGACTAAAAATTTAAGGATTCATAGAAGTCAGTTACAATAATTACTCGCTTTGCTCTTCTGAAAGCTCTTAGAAGGTTTCTGGCATATCTGAACAAATTATCAGTAGGAAAAAACAAGTGGGATAAGAAAATAAAAAGCAGAATGTTAATTGCAAGTGATGTATAGTTTAGCGCTCATGGAATCGTAAACAAAATTCATCGACTTCTTAGCATACTAGTAATGTCTAAATTCAAAGTTTATGATTCTCACTCCAACCGTTTCCAATTTTTTTTATTATCATATCACTTACCGGGGAGCAAACTGACTAAATAAGAACAAAATATGAAAAAAAGAAACAAACATGACGCAGTTTCTGATTACGATTAAACATGTATATCTCACTTTCAAAGTCAGTAAATTGTATAATTTTTAGCCTAAAAAAGAGTTAGTAGAGTGGTGTTTAAACTAAAAAGTTGCTGTATGTGGTATGTTGTATATCATTCGTACCGAAAACATTCAGTCTGTTGTAGGAAAAAATGAAAGTTTAAACGTTTAAACTGATATATGGGGTTAAGAAAGATGTTTTTTCGCCTTGTCACGAGCGTGGGACAAGGAAAAATTTCTGAGTCCCCATGAGGAATCGAAACTCAGACCTTCGGATTTGTACTCCGATGCTCTACCACTGGGCCACAAAGACTCTTCGGTGAGCGGAGTCTATTAAAAAACTTACCATCTCTACTTTTCTGATATATGGGGTTTTTCTCATTTTTTTACATGGTCTCATAAATTAGCTGTGATCTTTAGCGTTCATGTTTATTGCAAGCAAAGTAATAAATGCAGCATAAATTATTGATGGGCTTAAAAATCTCTTTTTACAATCACAAAAAATAAATTGCGACCACAAAAGGATAATGTTGTTTATCGTTTTTCAGACCCTTGGTTTCTAATTTTGTGTTTTGGGGGTTGGAGGGTTAAACATTTCCATTATACCGTTCGATATCTCTTATTTCCACTCTCATTTCTTTTTCTTTCTACTTCTTCTGGGTAAACTCTAAAGAACATACTTATATATTCACTACTCACAGATACGGGTGGGTATGTTAGCTGGCTGACCTTAGGAGATTAAACATTTGTTGTTAGAACGCGAAACCAAACACGAGACCTACGATCTTGACAACAAAGTAGTGAGTCAACTACTGACTGCGTTAGGCAGAAAATTATTCGGTGAAATTTCAAAAGAATATTAACTTGTGAAATTGAAAAAGGCAAAAAATGATGATTCGGTTAGTGTTTTCGGCGGAATCGTTAATAAAATGATGAGTTGTTTTATAAATTTCTACCCAAGAGGCTCAAAACAGCTCGTGGAATCTTAGATTAATGTAATTCAAGCTCCATGCTGAATCCAATCTGTTTAGTTCTCATTTGTTTTAAAGATTTTCTCACATAGTTCGGGTGAAGAAACCCCTTATCTTTATTCACTTTGAACCGCTACATAAACTAGTCAAAGGTCGAAAAAAGTGAACCTAGATCAAGTCAGAAAAGACAGATTCATGATTATTCACTAGATGCTAACGGAAGAATATTGGCTTTCTAAACCTTAGGGTGCTGACTAAAACTATCTACAAATCTTGTTTCCTCTGACGTTATGGAGAGGCAATGAGGCTAAAATAGGGCAAGTCTTCATCTCCTATAACAAGATAAAACGACTTTCTTTTTCAACAGCGGCACAATTCTATTCCTCCATAGATCGCTACGTTGCTGTCAAACACCCTCTGTGGTACCACACCCTTATCACAAAGGAAACGTTACTGATAGACAAACTTTTGGCATGGACATTTGAAACAATGATTACATTTCTTAAAATTGCGTTGGCATTTAAGTGTGAAAAAAGACGCTCCAACCTGATTGGGTACGGAATAGGGGTCTCTATTTGCATTATTTGCTTCTTAATTCTGATCTACATCGAAATACTGCGGTAGAAGAATCGAATTCAAATCGAACAAGTGCCGCGAGAAGAGATTAAAAGAATAAAAACTGACCCAAAAGCTGCAATATTTATAATTTTGATTGCTTTATTACTCGTCTGCGTTCCTGGGCCTTTTGTTTTAATTTTGCTTGTCTTAACACCGAGGTCTAACGTTTTGATTCTAGTTGTTTATTTGTATTCAAATTTTATGATGTTATAAGGTTTTCTTGTTAACCGTATCATTTAATGTTAGCGAAGTAAGTAGCTTCTCACGTATTTCTCGAAATTCAGCATTTCAAAGAGGCCGAAAGCAGCTCACAAAAACTGATTTACTAGATTTTTTTTTAGTTGTGAAGAGCTAACGAAATACGAAGTCGTCTTTCCAATCGAGAGTTGCTCCCTTCAGATTGAATGGGTAAGATTGGGGAAATCCAGTTTGTCAGTCATTTTAACTAACTCCTTATCGGTAATCTTTTTCATTCTCTAATAGCTTCTCTGAATCCTACACTAATTCCTTAGTACAGTGGCAATAACACAGAAAGTTTGACAATTGCTCCTCAGAACAGACGCTGCGATCCTATAAGGTTTTAGGTTTCAGGTTTTTTAATGTTTTTTGCTCATTATTTTGCTTGAGTTGAGGTTTATAGAATTCACCTGGAAATTGCAAGTGCTTGCTGGAAATGCCAGAAATTTATAAAAAATGGCCGATTAGTTCCGAGTAGATGGCACATTTTTGACTCTGATGAGTGCTTCAGCTAGAGTTGTCGAAAATCAGTCGAAATTTATTTTCAGTAACTTATTAATGGAACGATTAAATTTGACGATCATAATTACTCCTTAGGGGTTTAAAGACATCTACTATAGAGTCGATTTGGTATCATTTTGTTCCAATGTTCTCGAAATGAGCAGTGCTAGACTTCTATCTCACCTTTCTTGAGCTTGTCTTTATCCACTTGCATTGCAAAAGTTGACCACAGATAAGAAAGCTAGAGATCTAATCTGTCTAATTATCTACAAGGTATTCTTCGGGACAAGACGATTTTTTTTACCTACTTTTATGTTGATCCTTCTCAATCTCAGGAAGCTGGCTTCGAGTATGCAACCTGGTCTTCGACGGTTACTATAATTTTTCAGCTGAAAAAAACATTTCGCGGGCTCGCCACTAACCCAAACAAGATGTTTCTCACGAAAAGTGCCATGACAGAGCTGAAAAAAAAAATGTCCTTTAATCAACTTAGATTCCGCTTCAGTAAGCAACAAGGACGAATGTTCCACGTTTCCACAGTCCCTAAGAGCATCGGTGAAGCTGCAGTCCAGTATTCATGAGGCGAGACGGATGTATAGTCCGAAGCCTGTGGCTCATTTGTGAGGATGGTTGATGAAAACTAGTTTTTGGTGGGAGTTTGTTCCAATTGGGGAAAAGCCATGATCAAAATAGATTTTACGATTACGCTGCTTTTGAATTCGAGGTAGCCTACCAATGGAATCTGTGGCCGGATACAACAAGATAGGATTGTGATGATTAGAAAGGCCCTATAGCTCTTCGGGATATCTGGAAAGTTTGTCCGCTGAAAATCTGTTGAATTGGATCATTTCTTTTATTTTTTCCTCTCGGACTAAAGAGAAGCAACTGCTCTGTTCTCATTAAACCTCCCTCTTGGTCCCGAGACAACTTATCATTCCCAATCCCATTCCGCACTAAAGAAACTATGGTGCTGCGTCGATGGGAGAGTATAACAAGGTAATTTGATATTATCAAATGAGTTGATAATGTAAATTGGCAACCATAAAAACAATTCAAAGCTGACGTTTTCAGCGTCAGGCTTTCGTCTGAGCAAGAGGAGGAATTGTGGGAGAATAAAAATGGAGCTACGCTATGGTTGAGAACATTTTTTGTTCTTGAGTTTAGCGGCTTTCCGAACTCGTCATATTTTGGGAAAGGCTGTAAACTTCCATTTGCTGCTCAGAATTAATGGTATGCGGCCCTTAATTTTCCTACATCTAGACAGTTCGGAAATCCGCCGAACTCTAGAACCAAAATCGGCACTCTCAATCCCCACGGTATCAACGAACACTTTTCCTTCAACTAATTTTTTCTTGTTTTTCTCGTTACCATGTTTCTACTATGGTGTAGCTCCATTTTCTGCATATAAACACACACTCAACCCACAATTCCCCCTTTCACTCTAAGGAGTCAATTAACGTTATCAACTTAATGGATCATACCAAATTTCACAATAGGCATATCTTTCTGCCTGTGTAACTTTTCGTTAGTTTAATCAGTAGTGTAATATTAGATGATATAAAACCTAAAGTTTTCCACTCTCAAATTCTTATCGTTAGTCCTCATCAACATTGTCTTCATATTTCTCATGGCGATAGTTTTGATAATTTCCTCCTCTATCGAACAATGTCTGTATCTTCTTCATAAGTTCGCACATTAACCGTCTGCTTCATGATAATGGAGGTGAAATTATTCATTCGTCTTTCATGGGAATGAAAGGCTGTCACGCCTGGCTGTGTGCTGAGTTTTAATTAATGACCAGAACAT